GTAGAAAATGTAATAAAAATAGGAAAAATATATAGAAAACTGTGACAAGAGAACATGTTTGTGGAGATGATATGAGAATGAGAACCATCATCAGCAGAACCCTGGCTGCCATATTGGCCCTGCAAAAAGCATGCTGTGATCAACACAATGTTGGCTTTTAGATTGTAAGCCCTACTAGTACTCTTCAGTTTTCCTCATGTGCATTGCTGCCCAGACTGGCAGATGACATACTATATTATAGACCAGATCTTCCTCACATGATTGCAAGTTATGAGTTATGCTTACATCATGGCCCTATTTTGAGTTTTGCAACTGATCAATCAGGTAGCAGGATGATGACTACAGCCACACTGATCCAAATATCTCTTCATTCTCAATTATGAACAACCAGCCTCACAAGCCCACACAAACTGCTCAAGCCCTCTTGTCCTAGCTACCACTTACCTTTGCTCACATTCACTAGCAGTGTCTTCTACACCACTTGTGGCCCACCAGATCCATGGTCTCATTGCAGTCTGACTGACACACCAAAGTTACCACAGAACAAGGGCACCTCCAGGAACAGACAAAACACCAACATATATACACACTAGACACACCAGAGGTTATACTAAATTATCTCTCACATGGCTTTATGGCAACAAATGTGATATAACAAGACTGTTGTAAACATTGCATAAACAGCTGAGACATATGTACACAACAGAATTTGCATGTAAAATTATTCATACCATACTTGATAAACTCTTATCGCATATATTTAATATCTCGTGATTGACCCGCTTCGAGCGGCTGGGTGACCTCGCGGACATGGACGAGTCAATTTCGGTGCAAGAGGATGCAGTACGGCTCACTCCCGATGGCCATCCTGACAAGCCCAGCTATCTTCCAAGTGTTCAGACAGAGGGGCTGGCACAGACAGGGAGCAGGCCCGCTTCTGACGCCGCCCGGCGTCGGAGTGGCTCTCGCAATCGCCATCCAGCACGCGTCAACCTGCCGCCCGCGAGGATTTGTCGAAGGACACAATACGGACGAGGAGATTTAGTCCTTGTCTTTCGAGCGGAAGTCGGTGGGGCTTGGGATTCATTGCGGCCGTCGGTACCGTCGTCATCCGGGTCCGCACAATACAACACTTGCGCATCGTCGTTGACTACAGATGTGTTGTGTGCTAGGGTGGAAAGGAAGAAAGGAGGGGGGTATGTGCTATAGCTGAGTGCCCGAAGACACAAAATGAGGGTGTCTGGAAGTAACCAGGAAGGCTTGGGGGTCTGGTCTCCTGTGCCTAATATGTCCAATTTGCAGTGCGACGTCGTCGAGTTGGACAGACCATGGTAGGGAAGGCAGAATGAGACAGACGAGACGAGCAAGGCGCACAGCGCAACGGCGCTCGCAGGCAGAAATTCACTGAGTGCATGTGGGTGTGGGTACCGAGCGTGTTGGTCGAAGCGGCCACATCAATGACTCCGTCTTGTGTGAATCTCCATGTCTCTCCGATGCTTCAACGAAATCCAAATCGTACTAGACCAGCTGCACCGTGCCAGACAGGGCAGCCTCCAATAGCACACGAAGACTTGTGTGCGACGTGCAGCACAGGACAACGCGAGGCTGCAGGACAAGATGACGCAATTAGACACATAACAACATGGGAGAGCAGCGCAATACACATACCGTTCAAGTGGATGGGCGGGTGAGCGACACATAACCGGACATGACACAAACGCAGAGCGTGGCAACTGCAAGAGCGTGAGACTCAGGATATTCCTCCAAAACCTGAACTACTCACTGTAGCCTGACGGGTGCTGCATAGCAGAGATCCGACCGCACACCGTAGTATTCATACTTCTGCGTGGATGATGCAGACAAGCTGGTAAGCACGAGGGAACAGAGTCAATTAACATGGGGAAGCGAAAGAGGGTAAGAGGGGCGGATTTGGCAAGGCATGTATCAAAATGCTTACCGTGGTTATCCAGAAAATCAGTACATTCCACCCAGATGCACATCCAATGGAAGATCCTCCTTGACAGAAATGAACCAGGACTAAGTCGTATTGTGTCGCCCTACACCAACATCCACCTCCGCGATGCTTTCCCTGTCGTTGGGCATGAGCCACCTGAAGTCATTCCAGCGCCTCGATCTGCGAGGATCGCGACATCTGGAGGAGATGAGTAAGTCGGCCTGTATTGAAATCGATTTGCCCACCTTCGCCCTATACCACTCGAAACATACCAATGACGATGTGACAAACCACCAGGGTTTGAGAACCGCCATCCAGAGTGAGCCATACCACGCCTTCATTCACCGAAATCGCCTTGTGGGGTCCATGTCCGTAAGGTCATCCAGCTGTTCGAAGCGAGGCGACCGGAAAATGGGACCCCGACCTCCGTCAGTTTTGTGGCCGGCAACGCCCGGAACGCGGTACTTCAAAGTTTTATGTATTTTCGATGCAAAATTATTTCGATACACGCGGAGCGTAAATTCAGTTACTTATACGGCGGCAAATATGCCACGAAACTTGAACAGAGAGACGAAGAGAAGAGAAGAGAGCTTTGACAATCAAGGTAGCTTCAAATAAGTTTCACCCGTGAAAGTTGGTTTGCAAAGTTGAACTGTTCAAGTTTCAGCTGCTGTGATCGGCGTACAGGCTGAAACTTCGGGTGAGGACAGTCAATGTCCTGTCAGTAGCGCCAGGTGCGGAACAGTTGCAGACACAGGCCAAGGTGAGTCGGCCTTGAATAGTGCTCACCAAAGCAGACGTCTAGGTCCCGACGGTCAGACCCGGTGGTCGTGCTGTATGTTTAAATTCAGGGGTCGGTAGCCGCACTAGTTCTTTGCACAATAACAGACATCTGGTTCAGGTACCGAGCCATGCGCATGCTCAACTTCCCAAACTTGAACTGCTCTCCTAAAAACCCCGCAAAGTCGAAGGCTGGCTTGTGACTTGCTTGAGACGGCGTGCTTACATAGTTATGATTACAGCCTTAACAGTACCCAGCCATTAAATCGCCCAGCTGGCCTCTCTTCGAATAATCCTTGGTAAGTTGCTGGGCTGGTTGAGTTGACTAGCAAGCATCTCCGCAGTATCTTCTAACACCGAACACCGAACACAAACCACACTCAGAAATGGAACAAATTTATCAATTCTTGTATACAAGCCCGATAACTGTGGCAACATCCCAATACAAATCGAAGATATCTGCGCCATGAGCGGACATCACTGTACGAGATTTCTGTCAGATATATCTGGCTCAACAGTGGCTCAAGAGAAGACATACCTCTGGACGACAGAGGCATCATGGGTCCCATGCTCATTTACTCTTTGGCGGCTCAGCGCAGCCGCATGCGGGCCAGTTGCAGGAACCGCCGTTAGCCTCGGTCTTAGCGCACTTTGCGGTGTCCTGCAATTAAGTCGAAGAGTGAATCAGCGACGGATATCAAGAATTAGCAGAGCCGAAATTCCACTCACAGACATTGTGTTTGGAGTGGATTGGAGTGTGGTAAAAAACTGAAGACAAGTCCACATGCGGGCCCTCATTTTATACCCCAGCGCATGCGCAGGTCAATCTAACGTGAACAGGACCAAATGTAATGCACACTGTTCTATTGGTTAAGCCTGGCACGAATCACAATACACTAGGTTGTAAGTACAACTTACTGGACGCGCATCTTACATATTGCACTTGGTCCATTGGCTGCACGAATAAAAGAAAACATTCGTTGCTCGTATTCGGTAAGACTTCGATCAGTTGTCCTTCCTCCTTATTTACTCTACTTTTTCGTCTGCAATTACTATAGCAAATGTGCACAGCACTCAGCATATATCGCCGGATACCTGTAGATGACCGCCTCGATGCTGTGATTCTACGCTTGTCATTTGACTGACTCAGCGACCATGTTCATCGAATGTCCTAGTCGATACAACGCGCACCGGAGTACATTCCGGATTCTCCGATAAAGGATAGCACTCCCGGACCTGGAATCACTATAGACTCGCTCCTCAAAGAACGCGTCCACAGAGCTGAAATCATTGTCGGCAATCCATATGAGCACACGATGCAAGTTGTTCATCCTTGTAGAGATCATCATGGTATTTGGAATCACAGGACTGGCTCTCGAGACCAAACTCAGTTGTCAAATGTCAGACGGTGGCGAAGGCGGAGAGCTATCTAGACCTCTGTATTTTTTTGATGACATTGCCAGCGCCCAACCGCTCCGATCGTGTACATTGTCGACGAGAGGACGGCGAATGTATGTTCAACTTCTTTTTTACCGTAGAGTGACTCATGCAATTGCAATTCTGATGCTCGCCGCCACCCGTCGTCCCTCCTTGTTTTCACTCTCGAAGTCTACAGCAGGCCGATACTCCCCGGTAGACCCTCTCAGTAATTCAGAGATCTGCGACAACTCACGTCTGCAGCACCCGAAGTCTCAAGAGAAAGATCATGTCGAGCCATACCCACGAGTGGTCGTGCGACAAATTCATTGCAAGCTTAGATAACGTTCAATCAAAGGCTTCCATACGGTTCCGAGATAGTATACAAAGATAATGAGAACGAATCGAGATCTCCAAGCTGAGGACACAAAGAACAAGCGTGAATAGACCAATCCGATAATAACTTAAATGACCACAGCGCAGGGCGAAGCAACACTACCTCCCCACGCCCACACTCCAAGCCTACCGCACCGTGACCCCATCATATCTCAAACCGCGTCCACACCTCCACAAGTCCATCCGTCGCCTTCGTTGGCACCGCCCACAGCGGCAAGAAGGCCTTCACCTCCTCCAGCGCAGGAATGAGCCCGCTCCCGCTTGACACCCGCCCGCTCGCTGACGCACTCGCGTACTCTGCCCACTCGCACGCCGCCCGCCCGCTCAGCGGTCCCGCGCCCTCCCACCCCAATTCGACCTCAAACCCAGCTCCCCACGTCCGGGTCCACAGCCGCAGCTCGCGCGTTCCCGCCTCTGGCAATTCGTACCCCGGCAGGCCTTCCGCAGGCACGCCCCCGCGCGCCGCATCAAGCACGGCGAAGCGCGTGACGGGCCGGTCAAAGTAGAGCCTGCATCCGCGCGTGTTCGCACCGCGCACGGAGATTGTCGCACTGGTCGCATTGAGCCGCGCTGTGCGCACATCGAGCCACGGTGTGATGTCGTTCCCCGCGGTGCCTCCAGGTGAGGGCAACAGCTCGCTCTCCCACCCGCACGCATACAGCCCGGTGCGCGTCACGTTGTCGACATGACAGCGTACATCTCGACCCCATGATGACGGCATCTCGGGGACGATGCGACGGTCGATGTACCCACTTAGGCCAGTCAGTACCGTCACTGCGTGCACAACATTGGAGGACTGTGTCACGGTAACGTCTCCTACTGCCGGGTACATGGCGAGCGAATGACTGTGCGGAAGTGTGTTTGAGGATATGTCAACCTCCACTTGCTGCTGAAAGTACACCTTGAACGGACGTTCTTGAGTGAACGGGGGGGCAGCCCAAGACGCAGCCAGAGTTAACACGAAGACTACGAGCGTGATGAGCGTGAGCCAAGGGTGCACTCGATGCGCAAACGGCGCCAGCGGAATGAAAATGATTAGAGATAGAATCGCAAGACCCCCATACACTGTTTCGGCACCAGTCAGCAACAGGCAGCATCGCACTCTCACTGCACGACGCACCTATCACCGGGTCGCTCCCATCCACCAGGGTATTCATCAAGCTCTGCAGTTGAATTAGTTCAATCTGGAACACGAGCAGCGCGGGCAGGGGGACAGCAAGCAGCATCTGCGCGATCCACCAGCCGTACTCCTTATACTTCGCCTCTGCCCCCGCTACGCCGCCGTTTTCGACGTTCCGTCGGCGCTGATGAATGAGCGGGGTAATCTCCGTTGGCTCTGTCTCAACAATCTCCCCTTCCTGTTCGTCCCCGCGATCCTCGCCGTCGGGGTGCTCCTGTGCATCATACCGGACCCCGCTAACCAGCCGCCGTGCCGCCCCACTACTCTCATCGTAGTCGCTGTCCACCGTCAGATCCAGTCCAGCCTTGCGCGCATTCTCTGCAGCCTTGAGCCCCCTCACCGATCCCTCCACTAGGGAGACACTGGACGCAAGCCATGTACAAATGTACCACGCAGTTATCCAATACACGCCACCTATTTTGTATTTTTGTATCTGGATGGTTGCAACGATGAGGAGTATCCATGCAAGCAAGAAGTGCTCCAGGAGAACTGCGAGCTTCTGAGAGGAGGGAGAGGAGGGCAAGATAAATTGCAGCAGCTGGAGAGGACAAGTGACAGCGAGGAATGAAAGGGACAAGAACGTGACAAGGACGAGGTAAGGATGCGAGTGGACGACCTGTGAAGGCGTTAGGACCGATGCTGTGATGAAGATGCATCTACAAACTCACATAAGGATTAATCTTAACGAAGGCGACAACCAGCCCGACGTGAGCAGCTATGCCGACAATAAGAGCTATCCAAAATCGGCCCCAGCCCAAGATCACTCGAAGGATCTTTTTGCCTTTTGTCCAGCTTCCACTTTGAATGCTCTCTTCGACGGCTCGCTCTTCTACGCGAAAAATACAAAATGAACAATAAAACGAAAACAGGCCAGTTGAAGCTTACGCAGTGACTTTTTAGAAACTATAAAGAGCATTGCGAGCAATATCAATGTGGTGATCGGCGCGATTACGAGCATGACAATATTTGTAACAAGGAGTGACTGCAGAGAGAAGAGCACTAGTTTGTATTTAAACACTTCCGAATGCCTTTAGTGAAGTCAGGAGCAATCACGAAAGAGCAACTCACAATCGAAGTACACCCCAGGCTGACCATTATCATTACTCGTATCATCACCGTTTAGTAGCTCGATTCCAGCTCCACGTGTAGCCTCAAGCATGGACCAAAGTGCTTTACGGCCTTCCCCATATCCCATACCAGGGATCGAGTCGTAGGGCGTGTGGTAGTATGCACGGTTCTTCCAGAATGCGAAGTCCACGCCAGACATTGGCTCCACCTGGCCTGCCGGTTCATGTATTATGATTAGTGAATCATTGTGTGGTTTTGAAACACACCTTTGAGCCCTGCGGCATATACCTGGAAGTCGGTACGGCTGCGAATGAGGCCTCGCTTGAACGCATCCGAGCTTAAAACATCGGCCTGAAGGTGGGAGATGGCGCCGGACGCAAAGGCGCGGACTGGTGCCAACGACGTCGAGCGAAACAGGATGGGCCGGCTACAAGAAGCGTCAATGAGCACCGAAATGACAGCATATATGCTGAGACCAACCCTCCAGACGCAGCGCCCTCGAGATTCACAAACGTCGATGTGAGATTCGACCAGGGATGCTTAAAGTACAAATATGCGCCGTTGAGCCCGTCCTCCTCTCCGTTGTTGAAGAAAAACACAGCCGTCCTCCGTGGTCGGCGCTCAGGCGTAGCAAAATATCTGATCAGCTCGAGGAGCGTGGTGACGCCCATGCCGTCGTCGGTCGCACCCGGTGCAGTGGAAACTGAGTCGAAGTGCACGGAGAACATGATGCCGTTGGGCTTGGCATGCGGCGCGGAGAGGGGGGGATCAGTGCCGTCAATCTTGACGAGGATATTGTTACCCTCGAAGTAAACGGCGGGACCGTCGGCGACCCAGGATGCGTTGGAAATCGTGTCGTCAGAAACGTGGACATGGTCATATTCCGCAGCAATAGATTCGACTTGAGAGAGGAGGTAAGTGCGGACGTCATCGTTGGTGTGAGACAAGAAGGGGTGTGGTTGGGATGTTATCTGGGCAAGAAGACATCAGTTATCGCTGAGCTGCGACAGCAAGTCATGCAGGAAAGTGTACGCATTTATAGATGGACTCACCCACCTTGTGAAGGTCTGCATATGCGCGATCTAAATCCAGGCCTCGGGTGTCTTTAGGGACATCAAATAGTTCGTCGGTGTAAAGGGCGAGCCAGAAGATGAAACCGTAGAGGACAACAGTGAGCGCAGTGACCGGGCCAGAGGCAAACCTGAACGGAATTGCCAGGCTGCGCAAAGCCATGGCGGATGGTCGTGGTTCGAAAGCAAGCCCTCGGCTGCTCTCTTAGCCTTCGGGGCCGCACGGTGGCGTCTGGACGAGACGTCGACGTCATCACTCGCGTCGAGCAACTTGCCTTCGTCTTGTGGGCAAACTTCGTCGATACATATTGCATATTTTATTCCAGTATAATTTATAGAGGACTCGAAGGTACTTTACAAACTTCCTGTAGATAAATCTAGTGTAATTTCGAAGTGTGGGGGGCACAAAACGAAATATGCGAACTGGAGTCCCAAGGACCACCGAAACACTGTAGTTCCAACAGGGAAGGAAATAAACTCAACATTAAAGCGCAAACAGTATTTTTATCGCCAGCAAAAGATATTGGTAATGATGAAATTCAGGGTGAGCAAGGCGTCAAGGACCATATCCTATACACTACATCTTGTACTACACGAACTCGTAGTCTTGTCCTAAGTAACAACTTAAGGACTCTAAACTTTAGCGACTGGATCATGCGCATTAGTATGATACTCGATATATCAACATGGGTTGCTCAGTTTGCGACCCCGTTACCCCACTTATGGTGGGGTCACAAATAAGAGAGGATAATCCAAGTGACATCTCGCAATCTTCTGCGATGTACGCCTCAAGTTGCGGACCAGTGCAGCCGTCACATAGTTCAACCAACTATTAGATTGAAAGCGCTGGAGGATGTGCTCCCCTGCCGAGTGCAGTTGGATAGCGCAGATCGACCTGTGCAAATAAGCACGGAGAACGTTTGATGAGTATCCCCCAACACAAACTCTTGTAGAGACACGTATTCGTCCATGTCGCGAGAATCGACACCATAATGGATGATGAATACTAGTGAGCCAATGATGAGCGTTTGAGCGCTACATACTGTAATTGAAGCAGACGCGGTCAGTGGTCACACAACCATAGTGCGCATAGCCGATGTGGCTGGCCTTGTCTTGCGCTCGCTTTTCTCTTGTCTACAAATGCTTCCTCAGGTAACAGTTGCCTTGGCGATAAACTGGCTTTACAATGCGACGTCACAACGCAAGTAACTGCAAGATACTCGACAACGGCAGGCCTTGTAAAATCGGACATGACTTGCTTTATTCGTGACACGGCTCTTGAAGCTTGACTGCTGTGGCCGACATGTATATAATGACAGTCCCGGCCTTTGTATTCAGGCTTTAGGACTCAAGCCGTCTCTAGCTGGCACACTACCACGCCATGACTCCCAACGCCGGTCTTGATGCATGCGTGTCTCTCTTTGTGAGCATCTGCTACTACATCCTGCCCTTTCAGAGCGCACGCTCGCGCACAACAGCGCTGGCGCTGAAATTCGATGCGTATTTCTACGACCAGTGGCTACCCCTGTGGGAGCAACTTCGTATGAAATACGCCCTGATGTTACAACTGGTCCAAAATCGCTCCCAGACGAGAGTCCTCTCTCGCGCACCGCTGGAGATCGCGTACGACGAACTCCACCGTTCGTGGAACTACACTTGGTGGCCAACAATACCCTTTTGCGCAGAGAGGAAAGACAGCTGGAAGAAGCCTGCGCCAGGGTCTGTTTCTTTTTCTCGCCACCGTAGACTCGGAGTGCTGACAGCTCGGCAGGCATGTACGGATTCATTGGTACAAGAGCTTACGCGAGGCAGTTGCGCTCCATGAGGCTTCGCTCAATTATCGATCGCCGTCACCATATCGCACCAAGGAGCAACCAGAGATGTTTATGGATATGCCCCTGGGCCCGAGCGGCGAGCTCGACCTCAGCAAGATCGTGTGCAGGTGGAATCTAGAAAATATACTTGTACGCCCTTTCAAACTTTATTCAACATGCGAGATGCTGATCGGGCTATCTCTTCGGGCAGTTTGTTGACATGTCCCGCAAATCACTCTTTCAACCAGCAAGCCCGCACACCATGTCCGGTCTTGCGGTACAGAAACTACTCTTTCCCGGAGACAAAATGCCTCTACTTCGAGCTGTTGGTGCGTGTTTGTGGCCTCCGTTGACTCGAACTCGTCTGATCCACGTTTTGCATTTCCTCACGGACGTCCAGAGATTCCGAGTCCCGAAACCCTCCGAGTGCGGATGCAACGTGCGCAGCTCCTGCAGGGAGCCCTGCGTCCCCTCCGCTGGTTCGAGATGGCTCGCGTCACATTTCTATGGGCGTACATCGCCCTTCGCGATCAACTGACTAATAATTCGGAGCGGACGTACGCGGACTCTGAGATTGCGCTGCTACTGGTCTTCGACCTTTCCTATGCAGTGATCGTGCTTTCAGTCATCGCCTGGGTCGTCAAACTAGAGGTGATCGGTGCCTGGACTGACTGGTTGGGTACTGCGCTCTCGAACGCGGCCATGCGTGCCTGCAATGCCCTGTGTCACATCTCGGGAATACAGTCGAATCTGTAGTGAGTCGTCGTCGTAGACGACGCTGTACCATAGTATAAAATATTCACGCAGTTGTACGATAGGCGCATCATACGTACCGGCCTCTTTCTTTTCTTGCTCCGGGTCGTGAAAATATATGTAGATATGCGTGCACATGAACTCTGTTAGCTTGTATGCTGTATGCATGTCCTGTACATACTATATGTACTATCCACTTTGCTCCGTAGGATGACTGTCATGCTATTCTTTTGACTTTTTTTGCAAGGCTGCATCATTGAGTACAATATCAAAAAAGAAACATCGAATGCAACACTGAGTGAGCTAAACTAGCTGCAAGCTCTTGAAAGTTACGCCGCGATCAATACTAGTACTGCAAAGTGGTGCGTGGTACATCTTCAATTAAACCCAGCCGCGGCAATGATTGCAGCTCGCTCGGGGGAGTAGTATCATTACCGCCTCCACAGCTTCACTTCTTGGGCATATAAGCCACGTAACTAGTTATAGTGCAATCCCAATCCGCATACCATGTGGGGTTGCACAAAAGCACCCGGACGTGGATCGCCGCGATTGTCGTGCAGACTGGCTATATGACGTCTGGTCGGGTCCAAAACACGGATCCTGTTCACAATTGCGGCCCAGCATGCCTCCACTGCATCCAGGAAGGCACGCCACTGCTCCCCAGCTCTAAGTTGCCAGAGTGGATTGGAGGAAAAGATCTCTTCGAGTTTGGGGAACAGTGTTGCGAAGCACCGCGCAGCATTGGCGAGCACATCCTCATCGTCCTGTGTGACAATCGCAGAGTCTAGGAGATCGATGGTAGCTACATACCGGTTCCCCACAAGTTCCCCGTGTTCTGGACCAATCCGTGAGATGTCCATCGCTAAGGTGAGCTCGCATAGGTACGGACAGAGTTTGACTAGTCCAGCGAGCCCGTGGAATGTCACACGCGATCTCTGTCTCCAGCCAACATCAGTGCGGTGGCTGATTCTAAGGCTTTCCAGAGCAGGCCAGCTAGCTGCCATCTGAAGCAACATAGCGTCGCCCAGATCATATTGACAGACAAATGAAAGTTGCAGATGAGTGAGATTGGTGAGAGGCAGAAGAGAGATCATGTCATGGTCTCGGAAGACATCGTCCATAGGGAGGGATTGCGTGTGGCCAATTCGCACGTCAACAAGGCGCATTTTATGCAGAGTTGAAGAATGATTGCACAACGCAGATAAAAATTGGTCGCGCACGAGAGACGACGATGGGCCCAAGACTTCTAGGCCGACGTCCTGCAGTACACCTGGTCGAATTTTTTGAAGTAGAGCGGTGCATGAGCGGACGGAAGCACCACTGTGTTGGCGGGAATTGCTGAGAGAAAGTGTGTGGAGGGAGGGAAAGATGGGCTGATCTCGGACTGCCAAGAGCGGGACGAGATCCTCTCCGGATTCCACGACGAAGTGGAGTTCTTGTAAGGATGGCAAGAGAGCTAAACGGACCATATCGTCCGGATGGAGCCTCATGTTGACGTGGAGCACATTTAGTTTGTCGGATGAGTGGAGATCATTCCACGCCAGCAAGGGAACTACATGAGGGCGATTGATATAAAAATGGAGGCGTTTTAACTGTGGCAGAGGGCCAAATACAGCATGTAAATCTTCTGGAGACCTATTATGGTGCCCGGGTGCCAGTGGGATAAAGGTGACGCTCAATCTCTCAAGTTGCTCCCCAACTAAAAGGGGAGCGAGATGAGTGTCGCTTGTGCTGGACCATGTAAGGATGCGCAGCTGGGGAAATAGCAAAGGTGTCGGTCGTCTTCCAAAAAGGTAATGATGGCCTTTATTCTTGAATGGGTCACGACAATGGATAGGGACGCAAAGATCTAGCACCTTGATCTTCGCTGCATAGTAATCGAAGCGCTCCCAATCCGCAGGAGTAAGCAATCGCGTAATGAGCTGTAATGCGGCTATCGATACCATCATTCGCACAAGACGATGAAAGAAAGATTGCGCGCACCGTGTTCACTCCATCTTCCCGCCAAGCATCCGAAGGCAACGTTCGTAGTATTTGGTCTATGCAAGGCTGCGTGTGCCATAGGCGATTGAGAGCCATGTCTTTGAAGAATTTGCAGGTCAACGCAAGTGCTAGGGTTGCAACTGTATCATATTCAGGCGATGGCCTCATGATCATGTCCCACATAGGTGACTTCGTCGATGGCACATGGCAACCCCAAACTCTAGTACTTGGCTGTGGGCGGGGTTTTGTGTACACATAATCGACAATTTCATTGAGAATCTCGTCGACCTCAAAGCAGTGGTGCATTTGAGACTCGCTGGGCTGTATATACACCCGTCAGTCAAAATGAGGAAGTAAAGTAGCATAAATGCCTAAGCTTCCCGCAATAAGGCTCTTCAATTGTTTCAATACAAACTGGATTGAAGCAGACGAGGACTGAGTTGACTACTGAGGATTCGGGGTTATGAACGCATGAGAGGTATCACATAGTAGCTCTTTCAAAATGTACGGGCTTGGTAGCTTGGCCCTCAGGGGCGTTATCTACTTGCGGCTGGCACATTGGGCGGCTGCGACCAGTCAATCATCACTATCAGACATAAAGCGCCTACCGACAGACATAAAGCGCCTACCGACGACTTGACATGATAAGCAATTGAAAACGAGATTTCACTTCGCCGGGTGGGCCAGTATATTCTGTTTTGAGCGTACTCGGTATGCCCACGGTCACAGACTTTGCCGCTTCAAGGAGGATCGAGACCTCCGCTGTGTTCACTATCGATATTTTGGAAGTTTGAGGGCAAGAGTTATTTGCGCAGAAGACACAATAGCAAAGACTATTATCAGAAGACTCTAAGTAGCTGCCACCTGAGCCCTGTCAGAAGCACGATGCCATCAACACGATGTCGATGTGTAGCCTGTCGTAGGCCTTGCGCCGGCCACATTTTGATTTTCCAGTGCCGTCATAGCGCAGACTCGTACCTTCGCCCGGCTCCGGAACGATCGTTGGGCTGAGACGGGAAATATGCGTAGACAATCAAACTCTTTTTCAGCCTTCGCGAGGAACGCGCGCATGAGCCGGCACGAGGTCAGCAATGAAATCAAACATGAGAAAACTCATCACTCCACGTGTTTCTGCGATATTCTGCAGCTCGACAATTCCATCGTGTTTGTAATCGCAATCTCGGTTGTAAAATTCTGTTCAACGCAAAAGATCGGCCGGGTCAGCGAAGCGAAAGTCGAGAGCCATGAAGTTCGTGACATACATGGGTATGTAGTCAAGGATGTCATCCGCCGGATCACGGTCGCAACAAGACAGTTAAGTCGATCTGAAAGCAAAGATTGTGAGAAGAGCGCGTGCTACGCCTTCCACAGCGGGAGGCATTTCTGGAGAATTCTGAGGTTGTGCGCGTCGCCCTTTGCCACCACTCGTTTGAGGGAGGGGGAGGTAAGTATGAAGCAGTTGCATTGATGACTTTTGGCAGGAAGAAGCAACGATGCCTGACTTTGTAATGATATACTGAGGCAAGTTTCATCCGTCTCTCTGTGTGCTGTTCCACTACTTTGTCAATCCTTCGGCCGCTTCAAGCTTGGGATCGGAGTTGTCCTCATTCCACAGTGCTTAAAGTCCATGACCGCGCTCTCCACATCGGCTTTGAGTATTCTCGGTGTATGATGCATATACGTACCTTGGGAAGCTACATATCATTCAGCTGCTGCACACGCACAATGCTCAGTCGGCGCTACTGTCGAGTTCAAGGGAGCGAGACCGATACCCGATGTGATCTTGAGCATAGCCGCTGTAAATCTGAAGCATGGCTCGACTCAAACCGCGACGGCCGCTGCTGGTCTTGCGTGCTCAAGTATGCTGCGTGTAGCATGCTCTCGTCGCCGTCCCATCCTATTCCCCTCTTTGCTCAGAGTCTCGCCTCTTCGATATCTTAGCGACTCGGTATCACAGTCGAGCGAGCCACCCATCCTCGACATCCCCTCGTCGTCTATCTTCTCCCAAGGCGACCCAATCACTGCCGAGCCCATTCTCCAAGGCGTTACCTGGAAAATCAATCCGAATGAAGCATGGGCCGTCGTCACCGCTGGCTATGGTAGTAGCAAACGCACCCTCTTCAAAGCGCTCATGGGGCAGCGTCGTATTCACCCGCCCCCTCCGAGAGGCGTTTTTCCGTTTTTGAGATTTGAAGATCCCACCAAACGCGTGCGCCTCGTCAGCTGTGGGCGCACTGCAAACCCACACGGTGAGTTCTTCGACTACACCGCGCGCTATGGTGCTATGCGCGAGGAGGACCGGCGGACTCTTCGCGAGACCTACTTCCCAGAGACAGCACGACCTATTCACCGTCTTGCCCTGTCTAATTTCAAAGCGGTCGATCCTCTCTGGAGAGACCCAGAAAAGCGCGTAAAGTTCAACGCGCTGATGCACCAACTACGCCTGACCGACTTGTTGGACTTGCCTCTCATTGCGCTCAGCAATGGACAGACGCGGAGGGCGAGAATCGCGAAGGCACTCTTATCCGAGCCAGCAGTGCTGTTGTTGGACGAGCCCCTTAGTGCGTTCACGACCCACTCTCATATACGCGCATTTATTCATGGCTATTCTACTTTAGCTGGCCTTGATGCCCAGACGCGTTCTCTCATGCTTGACTTCCTCCACTCCCTGCACACATCCAACGATCCGTCCACCCCGCATATCATCCTCGGTATGCGGCCCAAAGACGGCCTACCCGACTGGATCACCCACGTCGCGCTCGTCACTTCAGATCGGACCGTCCTCACCGGCACCAAGGCCGAACTCGCCTCCGCGGCCGAAGGCCAGTACCGCTCCGCCGTCGGCGCACACCCCGCGCAACCCGCACACGCCGCCCCCGGCCAGCGCGCCCTCGGATACGAGGTCGCGCGCCTGACGAACCTCAACGTGCGTTACGGCGAGCGTCACGTCCTCAAGGACATCAACTGGACGATCCACGAGAACTCGCGGTGGCACCTCATGGGCGCAAACGGCGCGGGAAAGACGACGCTGCTCGCGATGCTCACCGGCGAGCACCCGCAGTCGTTCGCGCAATCGGACCGCCTCCGCCTCTTCGGGCGCCACCGCGCGAGCTGGCCGACCGTGCGGCTCGGTGCGCGCATCGGGCGCGTGTCCCCCGAGCTGCACAGCGCATTCCCGCGGCGGGACAGTATGAGCGTGTGGGACGTCGTCGGCACGGGCTTTGGCGGCGAGTTCGTCCCGCGCGGCGCACTCCGCGTCGGGGTCAACGAGGATGGTACCGAGCTCGAGTCGGGCGGGGCCCTCGAGGCGTGGCGCGTCAGGCGCATGTGGCAGGTCCTCGAAGGGCTCGGCCCGCGCGCGTGGACGGGGCGCAGGGTCGACGGGTCGTATGAGGCGCAGGAGGACAAGGCGTTCGCGAAGCGCCGGTTTGTCGACCTGTCCCAGGGCGAGCAGGGCATCGTGCTGCTCATGCGAGCGCTCGTAGGACGGGCGCCGCTAGTGTTGCTGGACGAGGTGTGGGCGGGCATGGTCGATGGAATGGTCGAAGCTGTGTGGCGGTATTTGGCGGACGGCGCGGGAGGGCTCTTGCAGACGCAGGCGTGTGTGGTGATTAGCCATTGGGAGGACGAGGTGCCGTGGGGCAAGGAAGACGGCGTGAAGAGGTTTTTGTTAAAAGACGGCCAGGGAGAAATTGTGGAATAAGCGTGGGCTTGCTCTTGCCCCCGGGAGGTGAGTCCTCGGTTGGCCCCCGGTATGTAGTGCTCAGTATTAATAACTCTAATGCTTTCACTTTGACTCAATATGTCAGTGAACGGGTGATAAGGCCTTGCGATATTCCTCACCATCACTATGCACTATGTTGTAGTGCCCAAACGCCTCCACTTAGTCACAAAAGATGCGTTGTCCTCAGCCCCTCCCCCCCGCGTTCTCAAGGGCATGAGAGTTATGTAAAAACCTCTCATGCAGAATATTTGCACCTCATTCATAGACGAACTTGCCATACTGAGACCCGATGGATACAATATCAGCAACGTATATGCTCATACCGACCTGATTTATTGGCAGCGATGTAAGCTTTGAGCCCTTTTTTATCGTACGTAGACACACACATAAATATAGAGGTTTTTGGACCGAGGGAAAGTTTTGGAGTGGGCTTGCCTCTGTTCCCGGGAGGTGAGTAAAATTTCTGGTATTTGGTGCTCAGTAATAACCCTAATGCATACTATATGCATTTACTTTTGACACCATATATCAGTGACTAACGACGCTTTATGAGGCCTCACGGCCGCATGCATATTCCTCACTATCATCACGCACTCTATGTTCTAGTGGCTGAACATTTCTTTTGAACCGCAAAAATGCGTTGTTTCCTGGTCTCTCGCTTCGACGTCACTAAGGACACGGGGACCTACGTAGGTTTCTCTCATGCGAGATGTTGCGCATGTGTAGACGAACTCAGCATACCGAAACCTGCGGCATAGTACAACATCAGCAACGTAAACGTTCGCAATGACCTGATTGACCAGCAACGACATAAGCTTTGAATCTTGTTCATTAGGTATATGCTCGTATTGAACATTGAACTCTTGGCTAGGGGATTATGAAGTTGTATATACACCAGGACGCATTCGGTTCACACTTGCAATAAGCTTCACCAGTCATTGATTGAACTTTTCTACAATAGTATCGGATCCATCACATACAGATCAGCACGTTTTGGTAAATAAATAAAAAAAAGGAATTTCCCTGTACAACGGCAACCACATAATGCAGTCAATCACAATTTGGATCGTGACAACAGAACTTCCTATGGCGTGCCAATGAATCAGGTCTAGAAAATGAGTCGTTGCACTGAGGACATTTGACACGAGAAACCAACTTCAAATGAGCCGATGCGATGTGCTTAGCGAGATTCGGGGCTTTCATGACCTCCCCACGAAACTCTTTCGTTGGACCCTCTCCCCATGAGTAGGACGTCAATCTTTCCGAATCATAATTGGGATCATTCTGATGGAAGGCACGAAGGTGACGTTTGAGTCCGCCAGGAGATGTGTCGTCCAATGCAATACCGCAATCTCCCGAGGAAGAAATCTTTCTGAGAGAAAGTGCTTCCTGTGGCAGAGGAAGCAGACGAACAGGAGATTCCTGAGACGGACGATGGTCGCTTTGCTTGCTGGAGAAGTTATGTGATCCCAGGCTGGTGGATACTGTGCTAGGGAGGTGTATGGGATCTTTTGCAGTGTAAGGATACGAGATTTTTGGGTAAGCTATAATAGATGGAGGACCGCAATACGCCGGGGGCATGTATCTCTTGATGTTCGAATGCTGCACTGATATTGAGTCGACGGTCGACAATGTACTCGAGCTCGGCGAGTCATCGAAACGGTCCGGACTTGCTGCATATAATTGATATCTTGGAAACACTGGGGGTATCGAGTTCTTGGCGCTTGAATGCTGCGATGGTGAGATTAGGGACGTGCTCAGGGGTGAAAATAAACGTGAAGGATCCGGGTTGGCTGCGATGAGCGGACGATCTCTGCTATAGACTGAGGGCATCAAGCTCTGGACGTTCGAATCCTGCGATGGGGTTGGCATTGACGTGCTCAGTGCGCCGGACAACTGTGGTTTGCGCGAACCGGATGACCAACTTGGCCACCCAGTGGCGTTTGCCGTTCGCTTTGGGGTCATCGTGTCGCCTAGGTCTCCGAAGAGTTCTTCCTGGTCGACTTTGCCAGTGAAACTAAGCATCTCAACTATTATAGAATAGTCAGACCAATCAATAGGCTGTCATGCAGAGTCTCACCTCCAGTCTGTTTGAAAACGATGGTTGGTCTTAGATAATCGAGTATGCGTCGAACGTTTCCCTCCACCTTCGCAGAAAATGCTTCAGTACGAGCTCTGAAACTACTACCAAGTCAACTAAGTGACACGGCATACTTACCATGCCACGAATTGCAGCGCTGTCCTGCAGCTCGGCAACGTTCATCGTATTTGCAATCGCAACTTGTGCTGTGGAGTTCTGTTCAGTGCGAAAGGTCAGCGTAAGCGGGCTCACAAAAGTGATAAGTCATGAATGAATATCGTACATCAAGTATATAGTCCAGGACGTCGCACACTGGGTCGTACGACTACAAAAAGAATGTTGAGTTCGACGACAATGAGTAGTTGTTGAAGCAACATACAGCTTCCACTGCAGGTACCATCTCGAGGGAATCTTCTGACGTCTCCATTGCCCATGCACCATCACTGTCATCGCCATCGTCCCGCGGAGACCAAGGTAGCTCAGACGGACCAGCAGCAGCCCTGATTACCTGTGGTATCAAGAAGCGGCGCCTGACCTTGTAGTAATGCATAAAAATGCACTGGTTGAGTACGGGTGTGGGTGTCGCCTCCTCAGCTCTCTGCTTCCCTTTTTTTGTCTTCTTCTGCCTTTTCCTATTCCCTACGTCGTGCCCTATATCGTGCCCCAATGCCGCATCGTCGATCTCCGGTTTAGTACTGTACGCACTCCTTCGCTCGATCCAGCATCGAGCATGCGTCTCGGTTCCAGAAATTGAAAAGGAAGCGTTAGCGACGGAATCAGTCCCAGCTTGGATGGAGAGCTTAGCGGAGTGGCCTCCACTAACAATCGTGCCGATAAGCCATTCCGAAGCCTTGACCCACCCACTAATGAATACGATATCTCCCTTGTCGACTGTCAAACCAATCCTCGTCGTGGTAAGTCGGTACCAGTCATTATAGTTCTTGATAATATAATCTGTCATTGCTCGGTGCTCCCTGATAAATCTCAATTTGGCGCTCTTTTGAGGCAATACCAGGACAGTACCTTGGTCACTAGTGCACTGCCAATGCAGCTGTAGTTTCGTCGAATGGCTAATGGACGCATGATTGCATCAGTGTTTGACACTATGAGCCGGGTTGGACAACTCACGTTGATATGTCTACATCCATACTCTGGCTACAAACACTCTTGCTGCAGAGCGAGTGAGTGTGAATCTCGTTTGCATTCTCCGAAACAAAGTGCGGTTTGATCTGGAGAATCGTGGTATCATCTATCACCTTGTGGAGCTCTAAGAAGTCATTGAGTGATTGCCAGTGGTCAGCGCTAGCTCAGCTTGTGTGCCGCCAGAGGCTGGTGGTCCAGACAGACAGACATCCCCCGAATATCCTACAGACCCCCTTCAAGATGCAGACGCGACGCCTGTTGGTCGCAGTGTGTGCACACAACTGACTATTTTGAAACTCATTATATCAGCATGGACATCGAAATTGTGAACGTGTTGAGGAGAGCAGAATCCTATATAACGAGGAGATGCTTCTTCGGGAATAATAAATCAAGCCTCAGGTTTTTAGTGATTAAGATCGTCTCGTGTATCTCCTTCTGCTTGCAACTAGTTCACCCTCTGAATGCTCCCAGTCCACTGCTTTCAATAGCCTTCAAGACGCCATCAAAACGCGCAACAGATAAGCGGCGAAATTTTCAAAACAAACATAGACACCTAGAGCTGGTGGCCAGTTTACCTGCTTATCCATTTCGTGACGGATTGTCATTGCAGATTTCTCGTTGATGATTGATCACATGAATATTAACAAGGAGACAATCATACAAAAGCCCCACTGAAAGAGGAAGCTAGATGAGAGATGATACATTACATCCATTATATAAATGAACGCCGTACTGGTGATTGTAGAATACAATACCCTTCAAATGTTCTTTCCAATGAATTAGTGTGTGTATGTGTGTATAGCGAGCGAGAGCAGTGCGATTATGACATGCGCGATTAAAAACAATACAGTGGATCGATCTGGTGGCGCCGAAATCAAATAAACAAACAAACGAGAAAATCAATGCGTACCACTATGCGACCAGTCGTTTTAGGTGATATATGCCTTCCCGAGCGACTGCAACGGTGTCGTACAACACGCGTTCTGGAGGAGACTCGGCCCGTGATCGAAGGCGCCATCGGAGTGTGACGCTGTTCAGCGATGCGCAAATGTCCTGGAACGACCCCAAGACTTCTTCAACAGTGGGTCGTTTATCAGGTGCGCGTTGTGTCATTGACGTTATAAGCGGTCGTAGAAAGTCTAGGCCATGATATTTCTGTGATCGTCTCAGTGCGCATATAGAGGAGATAAACAGCAGCTAATGACCTCATAGAACTCTGTGCGGTAAAGATTGCCGAGAGTGAAGATGTCCACCTTGAACGCGTCGTATGGTACCTCAGATGACAGCTCTGGCACGTCCTTGTCTCTACCCTGTCTCCCGAGCACGTACGTCGATGATCCCTCCAGAAATCGCGTGGAGATACCGAAGTCGATGAAGTAGTAGCGCACGGGACAGTCGAGACGAGACAACGGAACAACGTCGAACACCCCATCTGTGGTATAGTTACGGCGAACGGGGTGGTGTCCATGAGGATACAGCGGTCGACCATCCATCATGATATTCGCAGCTGCACAGTCCCTGAAACAATTGTCTCATTGGATTTCAAGCTAAGACTGTCATACCGCGACTTACCGGTGTGCTATATAATTTCGATGTAGGAAAGAGAGCCCCTGTATTCAACAGACGACGCCGTAAGAACTTAGCATTACATCAGGTAAAGAAACACACTTCGAGCGTCTGTTGTACGAATTCGACGACCTCTCCAATCGCTCTGAACTCGGGGTCATTAAATGGCCGTAGATACGGCATAATCAAGAGCGATTTGTTTGTTTCTAAAGGGTCTGGTAGAGTATCGAGTACAGGGATGCAGTGGTTTGAGGGGTCTTTGCGGAGTGAGGATGAAGAGAGAAAGGAAGCGATAGCGATTTCGCCGCTGTTATTGCGTGTTGTCTTGAGCGCTACAAGAAAACCATCGTTCTGGCGAATAGCATCAATGACATTGAATTTCTTCATAGAAGAGCAACGTACGGAGTGAGCTTCATGCATAGCAACTGGACGGACCACATACATGTAGGATTATTGAGTCTTCACAAAATGCGGGATCCCGAGAGGATCCCAACCAGGATGGACTCCAATCTGGATGATAGCGAGCTCTCAGCATGTATCCATGGTCCTCCAGGTGTGCTTGGCGATCCCTCCAGAAAAGCTCTGTTGGTCCGAGATCATAAGTGCCTTTCTTTGTTAGTTCCTCGTAGTACTGGGCTTCTTCGCGAGATATTATTGCATAAGACGGCAGGTTTTTGTTCCCACTGGTCATATTCCGGTTGAGTGAAGGTTGAGAGTGAGCTTCTTCGGGTGGACTGGGAGCTCGACTTTCAACCTCTAAGCGCTCAGCAGTAATCAAGCTTCACGTGACCGCATATACCTGAACGCGAGGTGAGTTGGCCCTTGGGCCTCGTTGTTTTTCCGCCGTTCGTGTGTTTGTAGTGATATATGGATAATGTTCACAATTACGCCACATTTTCTCGGGCTCCATGCCGACAACACATGCATCTCTGTTGATTCATCATCAAATTCTCATATATGTAACGTATGCCATGCCTGCTCATCCCCATCATCATCTGAGTCGACCGTCTTGACACAGAAGTGTCAAGAGCACTTCCGCTTTCCCATTGAGCAACAGCTCTCATCCTGATGTCTTCTTCAGACGACTACAACATATTTGGGGCGGTTACTGGTGCACTGGGTACCATGGGCTTAGTGCAAATACTCTGGGTCGTCATCAAGAGCCAGCTACCATCTTCGAAGCTCAAAGTGTTCGACCAGACATTCGAAGAAACAGAATCACTTCTCCGCTTGGTGTCCGAGGAAGGTATATTCGTCAACAGTGATTATATCGCGGTAACCAGGCGGGATTTAATTCGGTAAGACTGCGCCACACTGCTCTCTTGGCGATTTTATACCAGTGCGTCTAGCATTCGAGCCCGCTCAGAGAAGTATCGGAATGCGACGTACTGTGCTACAACATTCTGGAAGCAGCTTAAGGGGATTGTAACAGGACTCTCGCGCAAGATTTCCGTCCTTTGCGATGAAGTCGTAGAAGTACGAGCTAACATCTCGGTGAGTGATCGACGTGCTACATTGACTCGATGCGGCGCGTTGATACATGGTTAGTCTACAACCGAGGAGACAAGAAACAAACTCGGGGGCGAGCGCGGCGAGCAGGTTACCCTCAACTGGCTTCCTATGTCCCCAACTGCCGAAGTATCCCCCACAGATAATGCACGGCCGTCAGATGCTTCGAGTAAATCTCTTCTTGTGCCATAGTCTTTTATTACGACTGATCCCGCACTTGTGTCAGGCTGTTCCATTTGGCAGCGCTCCAAAGCGTTTATTGTTATCACCACGAGTGACCTGGCGACTACTGTTCGCAGCCACATCCCTGTTAAAGCTTCTCCGGCGTCTCCTGATGAACCGTCATTTCCCTCGTCGTCCGCGCTTTCAAGCCAGCCAGATTGCCCAGTCTTCTCAACTCCTCTTCCGTCGACGACGAGCAATATCAGTGAATTGCAGTCTTCATATAATGCGACTGAAATTGCGACCGCCCCACAGTCGACGTGTCGGCGGTACAAATATTTTTCCCGTAATACATGGGGCCTTCCGCGTAACGTTCGGCGCATGCTACAGAAAATCGACCAGGAACTCGCTGCGCGCGACATTACCCATCCTGCACTCTCGCGACTCTCTAAGTCCATACGCCTGGGAAGACGGGGTCGCAGATCACTCGCAGCGTTGCACACGCACTATGTCCGAGCTACGGCAGCCAGAAACAGTACAAATGTCGAGAGGTGCGCGCATGACCAGGTTGTGTCGAAGTACGAGGAGGACGGCTGGGAGGACGATGATGAGATTGACATGCTCAGTGGGGTGCCTCAGTTTTTGTATGCTCATGATCGCATCACTATACACCCACCAGGCTTGGTGTGAAGTCGCACGATCGGTTTGTGGTCTGTTGTACGATTCAGGATTTTTGACTGATGATCAGAGCAGGTAGCCAGAATTGCATTCAAGGAATTCCAACTGATTTATCTATTTACATTGGCCTATGCGAATCAAGTACATCGGGACTATAGAAACGGCGGAGAGCCACAGGGCTTCTGGACGCATGCGCGCACATTGTATAAATTATTTCTAACAGCTCGTATAGGTTAGCTTGCGAACCTGGATAGCGATCGGCGTGTACATCGCTCCCTTGTAATTCAATTTCTATCAAAAATACATTTATCCACTAGGGAGTGTTAGGCATTCAAGAGACTATTTATTAGCAAGGTGGTGTCACAAATCGGGACAGAGTTGGATTTGGTTTTTCACTCACTGCCAGTAAAGTTCCTCCCGGCCCTGTCTCTGTGTCGATGTCTATAATGTAGGTGCTCAGCACTCAGTTGCGACGTCAATGCAACAGCGTTATTTAGTAGCTCCGAAATTGTCGACATGATCCAAGCACAGTCTCGAAGCCACGAACGGTTTCTTTTTTGCCCCTTTATTGTCCGCGAGGGCTGAGCTCTATGCAGACAGTAAATACATCAAGTACGGAAAGTTTGGTATGTCTCCGCGAGCAATTCAAGTATTGCGT